GTCCAATTACCACCATGACTCATCAGTCAAAACTAAAAGACCCCACATCCCATCTCCTAAAGTCTGGGTGAACCATCAGACCAGCATCTTGGAGTCTTGTAGGAGATTAAGCATTAGTAAACCTCCATGTATCTTTGTCCTAGGTTGTATTTGCATTTCATGGCACCCTTCCATGCTTTTCCACCATAGAGCAAATGACTGACTTTAATAAAAGTCAGTCATGTTGGGTTATTAGGAATTTTGTTGAGACTCCAACTACATACTTAGTATTTAATAGAGACACTATGGAAATAAAAATTTTCAAAGCGTTTCTTCTAAGTTTTTTTAAACAGGATATATTGAATTAAGTAATTTGGGAGTGTTTGAAATCCCATGGGATTATGTAGCATTCACAATATCATCTACTGAAAACTACACAGTCTAGTCTGTATTAAACATAAAGACTGAATTTAATAAGAGCTTTTGCCAAATATTATGAACTTGGCTATTATGCCATTTCTTTCTTTTTCTCATGTAATAAAAATAGCTCAGTGCTTTTCAACTGGCCGAAAATAAAATACTCATATAAATTTTAAAACAAAATTAAAAACACAGTATGACAAGAACTTAAATTTTCCCCCAGTTGAGGTAATTCTCTTTACTGGAAATCTTTCAGCATCACAGTATAGGGTTTGGTCAACATTTTTTTCAGTTGTAATTTGAATGTAATTGGCTCCCATAATCTCATAGGGCATGGAAATATTAGGGAGGTGTGGCTTTGTTGGAGTGGGTATGGCTGTCACGAGCTATTGTGGATCATAATGGAAATACAGTAGATGGCAGTTGATAATTCAGATGTCAACCCACCAGATAAATAATTCTCTGATGAAGAAGAACCCCATTCAGGCAAGGCTTATGGGACCACAGACTCTGGAAACTGACTGCTTCTGCCTATAAATTCACATGTGCAAAGATAGCTATGGTATCTCCCCAATGCTTACAATATAATGCATAATCTCATGTAATCTCATGATTATATCTCAATCTTATGGGCTCATATATCTGTGGATAGTTGGGAAGATGACTTATCATTAACTGTATAATTTTTTGACAGTGTGAAGGAGGGAAGATGGTCGAGTCAGGAATGATTCAGATGCCTTCAGTCAACACCATGGATGAGAAGGATGGACTGTGTAGATGTGCCCACTACATACACAAAGAGATGCTCATGAAGGCCAGAGTTACAGTGGTTAAGAGCATGCTCTTTGGTGTCAGCAGTCTTTGCTCTTGAATTTATGGGACTTTGGGCAAGTTTACCTGAGGGTCTCAAGTGCTTGTATTTAAAACAGGAATCACAGTAAGGTCCACCTGAGTTATTAGGGGGACAGAAGTAAACACATTTACGAAGATGACTAATACAAAACCTAGAATAAGTTGAGCACTCAATATGTGATGGTTTGTTTGTTTTTGTTTTACTAATAATGCAAATAATAACAATGTATGTGACTTTAGAATGGAAGGTATCTTGGTTTTTAAAAAATGGCTTTAACTTAGTATATAAGCAGTGGTACTGGCAAGGACACAGAGCAGTTATAGTCATGCAAATGCTTCAAAGCTAGGTAGCTAGTGAGTTGGTGTGAGCATTTTGAAGAAAGGGTATAAAGTAGATGTTGGAGAAACTGTTCCCTTGCTGGAGATGGTTACTAGCATGCCAAAAATCAAGACTGTTCTGTTGCTTTATTGCTCAAAGCATTGAGAAATTTCTCAGTGTTTAAATATTGGAAGCTAAATTCAGCCTAACAAAGAAATATATCACATACATAGGCCAAATCATGACTTGTTAATTTGTTTTCTTTTCTTTCTATTTTTTATTTATTTATTTGTTTGTTTGTTTGTTTGTTTTTTGAGACAGGGTTTCTCTGTATTGTTTTGGAGCCTGTCCTGGAACTTGCTCTGTAGACCAGGCTGTCCTTGAACTCATAGAGATCCTCCTGCCTCTGCCTCCCAAGTGCAGGGATTAAAGGTGGTGCCACCAATGTCCAGCTGTTAAGTTCTTAATAGTGACCTTTGTCACAAAGGAAGAAGGAGGCTGTACAGCCCTGTACAATACAGGTGCCAGAGCAGTGGACAGAGAAAGAGTGTAACCATCAAGAAAAGAGGAAGACAGAAAAGGCAGGTTGAGGGAAGAGAGGGTGGAGAGAGAAGGGGAGAAGAGGGAAGGGGGGAGAGAGAAGGAAAGGGGAGGGGAAATAAAGAGAAAGGAAGGAGAGAGTAAGAAAGGGGGAAGGAGGGGAAGGGAGGAAAAGAAAATGAAAATAGGGGAGAGAAAAAGGGAAGAGAAGAGGGGAGGGGAGGGGAGGGGAGACCAAAAAGCTGATACTAAAGAGCACTTAGGAAATAGAGAGTCATAAATATCATCAAGGTGGCACCAAGACCCCTGTGGCGATACTATGTCACAAAAGTCACTTATGCTTGTGACTTCCTTTTGAGACAGGAAGTAATTACTAGCAGGCAGAGGGAACCTAATTCTCAGATCACCAAGATTAGATACAAGATGAAAAGCCCATGGGAAAGAAGGTCCATATGTCCTTGAAAGGACTCTGCATGGGCAGATCCCTTGAGCTGTGAGCAAGGGCACTGACTTCCAGCTCCACCATCCCCTGGATAGAGCCAGGGAGGGAGCCAGAAAGTTTTTCCCATCCCCCATGCTTATGAGGAATTAGCTAACCAGGACACGTTGAAAAGAAACACAAAGAAAAAAAAAAACACTCCAACCACCAGTGGATTCTAAGGTCTTTTATTCTATTCATGTAAATACTAACAGTATTATTTTACATATTGTTAACATTAATATTTATACTCTCTGAGAGCCAGGAATGCACCGAATACAAAATTATGGCTTAAACCAGGAAACCACCTGATAAACTTAAGAACATATTATGATTGACATTCCAAAACTTACTTAATATAATGTGTAAACTATATCTTTAAAATAAAGGAATATTTTTACCTTTGTAAAAACAAAACAAAACAAAAAACCTTTACTCCCTAATATCGCCCTGTAAACTGAAAGTCTGGAAGGAGTTACCAGGAAGCTTAAGAGGGGATATGTAGTTTGTAAAGGGTAGACAAAAGAACAAAAAATAAAGGAAATTTTTTTTTAAAAAGCTACTCAGCACAGAGACATTTAACATGTGGGATCTTCAGCTAATGGTACAAACTTAACCATCTAAACTGTTAGGCATTCCATGTTTTTGTCATGTTACTGGGGAATGCAGAAATAGAATACCACTTGTCCAAGGTCACTTGCTTAGTGACTGAGTCAAATTTAGATTTCCTAACTCCTAATTTCTCACCCAGTTCTCATCTCATGAATATCTTCTTTGTATAGAGTACAGGGTTAATTATTCCTTTGAAGGAATTAATAAGGGAACTGAGACCCAGACCACAGATAGAGGCAGGTAGGGGGTTAAGGTTGGCACAGGGCAGCAGTATCCCAGAGTGGCTAACAGAGGCCAGCACAAATAGAGCGGGTCAGGTGTGCTACAGGGGAGTGAGGGTCCAGAGCAGAGACCATGGCACTCAAGACAACAGCCAATAGAACAGTGATGCTTAGGCAAGGCCTGTTTGTTACTCATCCACAAAAATAAAATATAGACTTTTTAAATCACAAACATAAAAAAACAAAATATGCATTTTCTTAAATAATAACTTGTAGTTATAAACAATTGCTGTCTCAGCAGTCACTTATTAGGTAACAGCAAGTTTACAAAACATAGTCAGTAACCAAAACTGAATACACACACACACACACAAATCCCCTGAGTCACCAAGACAAAGATCACAGAATATTTGACCCTGAGTAATTCATGTAACACATTCAGCCCAATGTGAGGACCACAGTAGGCCTTCCAGCAGTAACCCCTGTGGTTATCTCATGCTCAAATTCTTTTAGGTAGCATTTTTATTCAGCTTCTTTTCAAAACAGTCTGAGAATATAGTTATAGATAGATGCTTAAGAAAAATACAAAATTATCACACAAAAAATCCAAATATAATTGAGCTCACTTAGTACAAGGATTAATAGACTTCAAACTTCCTGGAGGTTCAAGAGATAACTACTGTATTGTAGCACAATGTAACCCTTATGAGGAAACAGAATCATCTAGAAGCATTTTGCAGTGTATTATATCTTCTATTGAAAATGACCAGAATATACTGCAATGTAAAAAATTATCAAAAAATTTACGTAAAAGTTCGGGAAGAGAGAACATACACACCAGTCCTCAGATTGTGGAAATCCTTGTCCTGAGACATGCAGTTCACTCTTCTCCCATATAGTAAAAATAACCTTCAGGGTAAACTATCTCTCACACCCTGTATAAGAAACAAAGCTCTATTGGTTTTCTTTACATCACTGATGTGGTTTTTGAGGTGGTATCACATCCCCAGGATAAGTCTTTGAAGGGAGTTTTCTATTGTGTGTGTTTGGAAGCCAGGAAAGAAGAGCAATAACAGAAGTAAATGCAGAGTGTACTTCAAGTCATGGTTTCCATAGGGCAATCTTTCTTCTGATCTCCCATGAAATGAGGGAGGGCAACATGTAAACACTGATCACTTTAACCTTGGAGAGGGCATATCAGCTCCTGCTGGTTGAAGGACACCACCCTTTCCAGAGTCATAGCCCCATTCCTTGCTCTTTCTTTGGACAATGCTGAAAGTCTAGAAAGTAGTAACCAAGTGCTCTTTTCAGTGACAGAAGTTTATTACAATAATCTTCTGATCAACAGAAACAATGTGTCTTGAAGAGACATTTCTTTTCTCATTCCCAGAAGGTCTCTTAGTAGGCTCAAGGCAATAATGGGATTGAGAGGTCAACTGGCAGGTTTTAAACAGGTTTTAAATATTCCTAAGTGAGAAGTGGGGTAGGATCTGCATTTGGTCACATCTCCTAGAGCTGATCTGGACAGACTCATCTCTCCCAAGAAAGAATCTGTGTTCTGTTCACCCTGGAGTGGAATTCACAGTGGCACCTGATTCACAGTGCTGCCATAAATCTTCAGTGGGCACAGAATCCACCAGGAGTTAGATGGACAACAATCAATTCCCCATCATTTATCTGCAGGTGTTCACAGGAAGCATCAGGAGTATTTACAGTCAAGTAAACTATATCTTTGTAGGCCAAAGAGGCTACCATAGTGAAGTCGACCCTTTGACCATTGTTCAGCATGGGCATAGAGATGGGACTTCGACTCTTTCGGAAGTGAAGGTTGATCTTGACCTCCTGGAAAAAGGAGCCCTTCATGTGGATGAGATAAAGCCCATCACAAGTGATGGTAATTGAGCTGTTCTTCATCTCCATGGTTTGATACTCATTCCTGGGTAGGCTGAAGAACAGTCTCCCATTCTCACATCCTAAAAGGAATTGAAAACAAGATTATTCCTAAGCAAAATATGAGGAAAGAATCTTCCAGAAAAACTAATAGTGAAGGAGATTTTGGAAAGAAAGCAAGGGAGCACTGTAATGTACCAATGTCTGGAACCTGCTATTTCCATGAACAGAACGGAGAGGTTACAGCCATTGTTACCTCAGACATGTGGCATGAAAGACAGGTTCCTTTACTCTCCATCCCAGTAAACAGAGTGCAGCAAAGGTTAGAAGTGGTGAGGCAACAGGGCCTTCATTGCCTTGGTCCTGCCAGCCCTTATTAGTTTGACTCAAAGCAACTGCACTTAACCATTTCCTGCACCTTCCCGCAAGACTGGACCATGAAATAAAAATTTCTCACATGGCCCCCGGGAATCAGATTCACTGACAGCAATATTGGTGGTCTTTGCCAGCCGTCAAGTCAGCTTAGTGATGCAGCCAAGCCCAGGGTGCAGATGGGGTAAAAATGGGCTCAGTCCCATGAAACAGGAAGAAAGAACCCAGGGACACAGCTTTGTTTCTTCTTCATCTTCCTTCTATCTCCTATAACTAGCATTTCCTGGAAGGTAGCTTGGGAAGAGTCACTGCCACAGACAAAGAAAAGGGGGAGGGAAGGAGGAGGAGGAGGAAGAGGAGGAGGAGGAGGAGGAGGAGAAGGAGGAAGAGGGAGAACAGGACAGCTTTGGTAGCTCTGTGCTGGGCCTTTCCAGAAGCAAGACCCAAAGCCTAAGCGTCTTGCATTCTGCACCAGCCTGAATATCATCTTGAAGGGCTGAGCAACACCTACTCTGCCCATGCTCCTTGGTGATGGTAAATAACAGGTCCCCAGTGCTGCCCCCAATTCAGGAGCTGAACTTTGAATCGAAAATAAGAATGACTTATTAAAGCGAAACGTACTTCCCGTTCAGCTCAGCTAACTTAATAAATACTCGAAGACTCATATAGAAACTTCCAGTGGTTGGCAGTGATCAAGGACCCAAGTGATACTCTCTTGATCAAAGCATCAGTTTTTCTTCATGCAGGGCCTCCCCAGGTATTATCATGTTTCAGAGTAGAACTGGCAGGTGTCTTCCAGCCTTAGAATCCTTAGATGAAGACAAAATGAAATCCCTACCCTAAATCATTTCTGGGAGGATTAAGAAAGGCATGTTAAGTACAGAGGCAGGAACTGCTTTGATTATCAATCCCTTTTTTCCTGAAAAAAAAATAATATTCAGACCCCAACAATTTGGGAATGAAACACTTGCCTAAGGGAAATGGCAAAGCCTGTGTTCTAGGAAAATTAAGATACCACAGAAAAGATCCTATTTAAAGCATGAGTACAAGGCTTTGCAGACAATTCAGTCAGTAAGATGAAAACCTGAGTTCAGTTCATCGTGTTCTCTCTCTCTCTCTCTCTCTCTCTCTCTCTCTCTCTCTCTCTCTCTCTCTCTGCTCTCGCTCTCGCTCTCGCTCTCTCTCCCTCTCTCCCTCCCTATCTCCCATGCACGCACACATGCACACACACACACACACACACACACACACACACACACACACGGGAAAAGGCACAGTGACGACTACAATCACAGCTCTGAGGAAGCAGAAGCAGGTAGATCCCTGAAGCTTGTTGGCCAGCCTGCTGTTTGGCTGAATCTGTAAGTTCCAGATTCAGTGAGAGACCTTGTCTCAAAATAGAAGCCAAAGAGCAAACAAGGAGGATGCCCAGTGCCAACCTCCACATGCACATCACATACACACGTGCACTCATAAACACAGACACACATGTGCCACACCGATACATACACACACACACATGTGTACTCGTAAACACAGACTCACATGTGTCACACCAATACATGCACATCACATACACATACATGCACTCATAAACACAGACACACATGTGCCACACCGATACATGCACATCACATATACACACATGCACTCATAAACACAGACACACATGTGCCACACCGATACATGCACATACACACATGTGCACTCATAAACACAGACTCACATGTGCCACACCGATACATGCACATACACACACATACACACACGTGCACTCATAAACACAGACACACATGTGCCACACCGATACATGCACATACACACACACGTGTACTCATAAACACAGACACACATTTGCCACACCAATACATGCACATACACACACACATGTGTACTCATAAACACAGACTCACATGTGCCACACCGATACATGCACATCACATACACACACATGCACTCATAAACACAGACACACATGTGCCACACTGATACATGCACATACACACACATGTACTCATAAACATAGACACACATGTGCCACACTGATATATGCACACACACACATGCACTCATAAACACAGACACACATGTGCCACACCGATATATGCACACACACACACATGCACTCATAAGCACAGACACACATGTGCCACACCGATATATGCACATACACACACACATGCACTCATAAACACAGACACACATGTGCCACACCGATACATGAACATATACACACATGTGCACTCATAAACACAGACATACATGTGCCACACTGATACGTACATATCCACACACACATGCACTCATAAACACAGACACACATGTGCCATACCAATACACAAAAGAACTACATAAAGATAATTTTTGGAATACTTACTGGTAACTTGTGCTCGGAGACTTTGGATTGGAGGATGCTTCACCTAAAAAAGAGGAAAAGATGGATATTTACAAAAAGAAAGGTGAAATTGGTACAGCAGCTCACAGGAAAAAAACCCTTGACAAAACACAGCTGCATTTTCTTTGAGAATTTGACCCAGACTTACTATACACCTTTGTTTGCTACTACTACAATATCTCCTCTGGTAGGTATTTCTGCTCTATCATGCAAGCATCTGAAATCTGGCTTCATTCTGCCAAACTCTTCTTTGGTGCCAAACAATTCTCCCATTTAAATTGTAGCACTCATTAGAAAGTCCCTCATGGGCACAGACTCCCAGAACACTCTAGCAGAAAGTTCCAGAAGCTTCTTGTATGTGCTCTCTTCCACAGGAGCAAACACATCCTGTTTTCAATAGGCTAAACAACCTGCTCTAGCCCTTCAAAACACAATATGTTTGCATACATCTGGTTTATTTTATTTTAGTTAGTTATTGTGTGTGTGTGTTCATATTTTGTGTGTGTGTGTGTGTGTGTGTAGAAGTCAGAAGACAACTTCAGGAGTCAGTCTCTCATTCCATCATGTGAATTCGGCATATCAATTTCAAGCCCTTAGGCTCAGTAGCAAACACCAAGAACCCACTGAGTCACTTTGCTGGACCTTTTAAAAAAGAAGTAGTTTCTCATTAATTATCCCTATGTATTATCTGTGATTGTGTGTGTGTGTTTGTGTGTGTGTGTGTGTGTGTGTGTGTGGCCTTGGATCTTTCCTTTCACTTCAACAACTTGAAAAACCTAACACAAACCAAGTCAGCACATGAGAACAAGAAGTAAAACAGTAAGGAGAAGCTTGGTGATAAAAACACACATGACTTGGTAGCCAAAAAGACAAAGAAACTCAAAATGGAGCAAAGTCAAAGATCTATGAAGTGAAAATAACAAGGGCAGAACCATATGTAAAGAATATTCATGTCCCTAAAAAACCAGAAACATTCCTGTACGTGCTGAGTAAACCAAAAAGAATGCACCAAGAAGCCAGGTACAAAGGTTGTCTCTGGGAAAAATGATTAGAAGTCTGAGGTTAGGAATAGTAGGGACCCTTTATACTACATGGTGTACTCCCTACTAACAAAGAAAATAGAGAGAAAAAATGCCCATGGCTCCTGCCAAGAACAACAGCCACAAGGTTATTTTTGGCAGAACGCCCTATCAGAGGCATGGGAGAAATTTGTTTTCGTGCCCTGAGCAGTGGAATCCCTACTTCCCACTCTCCTGGCAGACTAGTAGCCTCAGTCAAGAGGATTTCACTGGGGACTCCCTCACACAGATGAGGAATCCCCTACTTCCCTTTTAAATATGATCATGGGCCTCCGTGAGCTAAGATCAATGGGCTGCATAGGGAGGAGGGAGGGCTTTCCCAAGCCCTGCCAGTCCCTGGGCTAAAGAACAGCAGTGATGCAATATGGTGAGCTTGTGGAGAGAGTGTTGACTTGGATAGCAATGTGAGTCTTGCCTCGGACCCCTTGCCTGCTGCTTCTGTGTGCTTTAGGAAGTGTTCTAGAAGAAGACCTCCAAAAGACCCATTACCCTCACCACTACAATTCCCTAGACAAAGAATGTGCTCTGGGGCTGGTTGGTACCAGTTCCCATTGTCAGAAGTGGTCTATATAGGGGCACAAGGCTTAACACAACATGTATCTCCTGGGTTTTGATACCAGACAAGCAAGTACTGGGTGGTCTGAGATTAAGTATCACAAGCTCCCTAGGAATCAGATTGTCATGTTTAAAAATCACTACAACATAATGGACATCAATTTCAGCACACACACACACACACACACACACACACACACATTCCCCCCAAACAACAATAACAACAGGTAAACAAGCAAACAAAACTAGTCCAGTGTGATGGCACACACTTTTAATGCCAGCACAGAAGGTAGATGGAGCTTATCTTGATCTAAATATCAAGCTCCAGGTCATCCAGAACTACCTGTTAAGATGGTTCTCAAAACACAAAAGCAAAACACAAAAGCAGGCAGCTACAAGTTAATGAGCTACCTGCAAATGAAAAGAACAGGAAGTTTCCCAGTTCACAAATTGACTTCAAGCTCTCAGAACTCAAGGCCCTTATGAGTTTATTTCTTCCTTTTCTTTTTCTTTCTTTTATTTTGTATGGTGCCAGGGATTGAACCCAGAGCCTTTCACATTCTAGGAAAGTGCTTCACCAGCCCTTCTAACCCTTCTAAAAGCTTTTTGGTTTGAGACATTATCTTGTCAACTTTGAACTCGCTAGGTGCATAGTTTAATTATTTTGTCTGACTTTGCAAAAGACTCTAAAGGGTTCCTCTGTGTGTGTGTGTGTGTGTGTGTGTGTGCGCGCGCGCGCGCGCACGCACGCGCACGAGCTAGCATAGATTTCTTTTTGTTGCCTTGATGTTGTAGGGGTAGCAATGACCAAAGGGGGCATCTTCTGAGACTGAGATATTAAGAGGCAGCCAGGAAAGCCATACGTGACTTCCTCTACTGATTTCATCTACTGCAACCCCTAACATCCTGTTCCTTCTCCCAAAGGTCACCTAGAGTGGAAATTTGCATATTCTCAGAGGTCCCTTAGAAACAACAATTTAGCGAGTTCAGTTAATTTTATGGAGTGGAAAAAGGTGATCCTTCCTGCTCCCAGAGCTTTCTGCTCTAATTCTTCACACCTGCCCAATTGCCCAGAGACAGCCCCACACTGCCCAGGGACAGTCACCCCTACTCTGCCCAGAGACATCCCCACATTTCTCAAAGACACTCCCACACTGCCCAGAGACATCCTACACAATTCAGAGATATCTCCACAGTCCCAAAGTCAATGTCATGCTTGGCCTGACTACAACCTCACTCTCAAGTTTCACACATACCTTTGGGCATCTTATGATTAATCAATCTTTTCTTTGGTCCTCTTTCCCTTAGATGAAGAACCAGATAGGACAAGACAAACTACAGATTGATTGGCTTCAAATTTGGTTCAAATTGTGACTTTTCCAGCTTCATGAATTTGGAAAAGACATAAACTATTTCTCAGCTTTCATACAGATGACTATAAGGTTTCACACTGCAACTGGAATGCCCCAAGAGCTAACAATGTAGTTTAAGGAAAAAAACAACATTAACTACCCAGCAGTTTGCCTGACACAAAGGCTTCTGTATTTCCAGATTGTCTACCTATCTGCTTCTGCCCATCGGAATCACAACCCAAGCCCAAATCAAACCCTTGATGCTTGACAGCTGTATCCCCATTCCAGCTATCTTAAGACACCTTATTCATACTTTGAGGCATGACTGGGCACACTATCTTACTGACTACATTTTTTTCTACTTGCTTGTGGTTTAAAATAGAAAATCCTTGTCAACTTGATCTCTTTTGTTTTCACTATTCAAAGCACCAAACTCCAAATCGCTGTAAACACTTTCATCCCTTCTGTTCCCTGAATTGCCAACATTATTCTTCTCAAACAATTGCCTAAACTGCAGTTATAACCACCAATACTTGAAAGCAATCAAAAGTTCTGGAGAAGATAAAACTATGAAGCAGCCACAAGGTGACCATTATTTTCAGCGCTAACAGGAAGTGAAAAGCTGTGAAGAAAACTACACTTTGTAATTTGTGTAAAAGAACCATCAAAGATGACTACACTTTGTGTGGTTCCAGTTGTAAAACATTCTGGTTGAAACAAATCTATGAAGACTAAAAGATCTGGGGATGCCTGCAGTTAGGAACTAGGGGCCTAGGGAGCACTGAGTAGGGGCAACACAGAAGATGTTTGAGGATGGTGAAGCCATAATGGGGAGATATATGCCATTACACATTAGTCAAACCGTAGAATATAGAAAGTACAATATCAAAAGTGAACCCTAAAATCAATCTTGAATGATAATATCATCAATGGCTATACGTTTCATTTCCCCCTACTTAGAATATTTTGATGTTACCTTTAGAAAATTGCTTTTATCTTGCTGATTTTCAGTTTCTTATTGTGAAGTGGGAATAGAAAAAGTTTATTGTCTCAGAGGGCTAGTGTTAGGTTGAATGAGATAATATGTGTGACTGGTCATGACTTGACATGAAATATTTAAGGGGTCAACAAATATCAGCTATTGTTCTTTGATACACAGAAAACAAGGTCAATGTAATTTTATGGTTTATTCTCCATATATTGTTGGATATGTAAAAACTTAAAGAATAAAATAAAACTGCCACAGTCCTTGAATCAAGCTCTCTGACTATCTGCAACCCAGAGAGGACCTAGGCTTCATGAGAAAGTGTTCCAGAAGCATCCAAAGACATCTGGTCTACCCCACATAATGAACACCATATCTGAATACCAAGAAAGAACATTTCCAGACACCAAGAAAACTGGGAGATATGCTAGAGCCTAGAGCCAGAGGATTTCCACATAATCACAGCTTACAAATCAGATTTTCCTTACTCTTCAAAGTGTGAAGGTCTCTCATTATCCTCACAGTTGACAATCAAACTCCAGAATCAACCAGCAGTGAACACAGCCTGGGTTTTAAATAGGATTGTCTCAGAAGTAAAAAAAAAAAAAAAGGTACAGAAGAAGCCATCTTTTGTTCAAGATAATATCTCAGAGAAAGAAATTAGAGCCCATGGAAGTGAAGGGACTTGACTTCTGCCCCAAAATCCACTACAATTTTTTATTATATTGTCCAATAATTTTTCATCTTCCCTTGTTTGGGTTGCTAGGGATTGGGACTGAATCCAAGGTCTTGCACATGTAAGACAAGTACTCTACCACTGAGCCATAACCCCTGCTGTCTGTCTGTCTGTCTGTCTCTCTCTCTCTCTCGTGTGTGTGTGTGTGTGTGTGTGTGTGTGTGTGTGTGTGTGTGTGTGTGTGTCTGTGTGTCTCTCTTATCGAGACAATTTCACTAAATCACCCAGGCTGGCCTAGAACTTACTTTCTATCCCAGGATGCCTTTAAATTTAGATCCTCCCACCTCAGCCTCCTAATTGGAGACTGTAGCTTTATAG